GTAGACGGGAACACGGATGTTCCCCTGAACGCCAGACGGTAGACGGGGACAGGAACACGGGAGTTCCCCCCAACACGGGACCGTAGACGGGAACATGGGAGTTCCCCCAAACACGGGACGGGAGACGGGGACGGGAACACGGGACTTCCCCCGAACACGGGACTTCCCCCGAACACGGGACGGTAGACGGGAACATGGGAGTTCCCCCAAACACGGAACGGTAGACAGGGACGGGAACACGGGAGTTCCGCTGACCATGGGACGGCAGACGTGGACGGGGGTTCCCCCGAACACGGGACGGTAGACGGGGTGTCTTCCGGGTAGTCAGGGATATCTGAGTTCAAATACTATCTCAGACACTTAGTAACTATGTGACCCTGGACAAGTCACTTAAATTCTCAATTACAGTTTTGTCATCTGTAAAATTCTCATTTTATCACCTGCCTCATAGTGTTGTCTTAAGGATCAAATGAAATGATACCTGTAAAGCCCCTTGCAGATTTTATATAAATGTGAACTGCTGCTGCTACTGCTGTTGCTGCTACTACTACTACTGCTACTGCTGCTGCTGCTACTACTACTGCTGCTGCTGCTGCTGCTACTGCTACTATTACTACTATTACTACTACTAGTACTACTACTACTACTACTACTACTAGTACTACTACTACATGGTTTCATTTAATTAAATTAGGCGCATTTTTCTAGCCTTGAAGTTAACTCGCAGATGCCCATAAAATTCTTAATAAACGCCCAGGGCTATAAGGGCAGCATCAGGACCACTGGTTATCTTAAGGTATTGGGAAGGGAGCCCTGGTGGAATTATGGAAAACAGAACACTGTTATGTATAAAGAGCAGGAAAGATGGCCTCTGAGTGTGGACCCTTCAGCATCAGTCTGTATCTGTGAGTCAGTGTCTTTGGATGCTGAGTGAATAGTGTTGACAGGGAAAGAAAGCAAGGATGAAGGGTGTGGGTTGTTGGCTGCATTTCTGTAGAGCCAGTGAGCATGTATGGAAAGAGCATCTGGGAGAGTATAAACCTCCAGTGTCAGTAGAAAGGATAGCTCTGAGTACAACGACCCTTGGAATCCATTCTTTATCTTATCTGTGGAGAAATGATTTTCAGCCAGGTTATGCTAGGTAAACTCTGAGGCTTATCTGGTATTATGAACCCATACTGACTTTAGTGATCACTGACTCTCAAGTAATTAGTGTTGTAAAATTTTACCAGAAATCAGTCAAATGCACCAAGTTGAAGGATCTACAATCTTCCTCTTTTTTTTCAAAAATTGGAACAGTTGACTATCTTTGAGACCCTCTCTAACTTCCCATGACTTCAATAGTATTTCAGAATTACAATCCTGACAATTCTTTCAGTGCCCAGGGCTGTAGTTTTTCCAAAGCTGATCTCAATAAGAGTTCCTCATTTGCTTCAGGTTTCACTTCCTTCTTTGTAATTTTATTCCATCAAGTCTAGATAATTCTTGTTAATGGAGAAAACCAATGCAAGAGAGCAGTTCAGTAATTCTGCCTTCTCTCCATCATGAAGCTTATCATTTGTTTCAGCCAGGGAGAGAAATAGTCTTCTCCCTTCTTTGATTTTCTTGTCCCACATCACTACTTCAAGAAAAAAAAAAAGCTCTTCCTATTGACCTTAGTATTTATCACAAGAAACAGCTTGTTCTGGACTTTAAATTCCTAAGACTATTTTGAAAGGACTGTGCTACTCTTTTGTATTCTTCTTGTTACCTTCTCCTGCTTCTTTCAATTTGAGGTGGTTGAGAGGTTCTCTGTGTAGCCACATTGGTCTCATTAGATAGTTCTGCCTTTCCTTCCTCAGAGGAAAAAAAAATTGGTGTGTGTGTGATCTAAATTTTGTTCTGGAGAGTACATCCCTGTATCTAAAACCCTGGCACAGAAATCTAAATCCCTTTTTCTAATGACATTTTCTTAACTGTGAGTTCTTTCTTCTTCTGAGGTTCCAAATCTAATCATTGATTTAGAGCTGGAAGTGACCACCGAGATCATTTCTTTTAACTCCCTCTTTTTATAGAGGAGAAAATTGAAGCCCAGAAAGCAGAGATGATTTGTCCAACATCATACAAGTAATGTGACAGAGCCAGGAATTCAAACCCAAGTCCCTTGACTCCTCATCCAACATTCTTTCCACTGTACCATACTACTGCTTAATTAGGGAGAAGGAAAAGGAATAAGCATTTAGATAGTACCAGCTATGTGCCAGGTACTGTGCCAAGTACTTTGCAAATATTACCTCATTTGATCCTTACAACAACCTTGTGAGACAGGCGCTCTTATTATCCCCATTTTATAGTTGAGGAAACTGAGGCAAACAGATGTTGTGACTTGCCCATGGTCACATAGCTAGTAAGTCTCTGAGGCCAGATTTTAACTCAGGTCTTCCTGACTCCAGGTCCTACACTCTATCCACTGTGCCACTAGCAGTGATGAAAACACTACCGATGCCCCTTTAAGTCTTTCATTTCTTTTCTAGGTCTTCAAACTCTAAATATCTAGATTAGGATTCTAATAGGCCCCAAAGTGGCAAAAATAAAAGTTAAAAAAGAAACAGGTATTAATATTCCCTCTTTAATTAATTGTTGTGTCATCAGACAAGTTGAATAACCTCTTGGCACCTCAGTTTCCTCCAAGTGTAAAATGAGGGGAGTTGAATGAAATGATTCCTAAGAATCCCTAGGATTCCTTCCAGCTGTAGCATTCTATGAATCTATATATAATGCTGTGTACCTATTTGCCCACAGACCAACATACGTGTCTTTCAATATAAGAAAAATAAAGCCAAGTTTAGCAAATGAAGAGTAGACCTCAGAACCCACCCAATTTGCATCAAAGGGTATGAAAAACAACAACAGAATCTTTTAAAAGCAATGTAATACCAGAAGCTATCAGTGTCTAAAAATGGTCTACATCCAACAATTGAAAGGCCTTAAGAATCAGATTCCTTCTCCTTGACTCTCAAAGACAGAATAAGAATTAGAGAGAGATTTCAACTCACTAGAAGAAACTTCTGAACAATTAAAGCCATTCAGTGATGGAATGGGCGGTGGTAATGAATGCCCTTTTACTACAGATTTTCAAACAGAGGCTAGACAACCATTTGTTGGTAATGATACATAAAAGGCATAAAAAGTGGCATCTGATGACCATTCTAGCTCTAGACATTCTATGGTTTGGTGAAAAACTGCCATTAGCCTTAGCCTATTCCTGAGATTCTGTACAGCTCAGAGAGTCGTTTCCCATAACTGCCTTGGCAAAAATTCCTGACTTTGATCCTTGCCTGTTATTTATTTATATCCAGGGCTTGTTCACACTTACAGACTTTGCTTAACACCTTGATTTTTACTCCTACTCAGCAATTTCCTTCCTATGGGTTCCTCTCTGGTTACAGGGGAAGAAATGGACAGTGGGTATAAATTATATAGAGAAGTTTAAAATGGATTATTTGCTCAGAATATCCAGAGGATGTTAGAAAAAACAATCATCATGCTGTTTTAATACATTGATTATTAATACTAATAATGAGCTATTAATAATCAATCTATTAAAACAATGGTATAATTATAACATTATACCTCCATGTGTCATCATGGTATTCAAGTAACCCTGAGTTTTCAAAGTCTATACCAGCTGAATACAATCTCTGCCAGATTCCACTATGCTGGAAAGTCTTTGAGACCCAATGACAAATAATGTCTAATTTCCGGTGACCAGCCTAGCCAAGAACAGAGAGGCTCAGTAGCAACAGGCTGGCCACTTGGTGATGAATTCTTTAGCTGTGGAAGCCGGAAAAGACAGAAAAACACAAAGTTGACTGAAAAGTTCAGACCACACATCCTGCTGTGCTTATAATTTATTGAATATAAAGAAGCATTTAACTCAATACAGCAAAATGAAGTCCTAGATGCTATCCTCCAACAGTGTCTCCTATGCATTTGCAAAACTCTTCCAAGGTTCCTTAAAAGATGAATTAATAAATAATTGTTTTGTCACCTTCTGATTGAGACATAGGACAAGGAACTGTATGGTCACCAAAAATATTTGCCCCTTTTATGGAGGAGCAGAGTTCAAATGGGAGAAGGATTCTTCATGTGGAAGAAAAACAATCTACACTTTGTGTTTAGCTAAAATCTTCAAAGAAACATCACTAATGTACAAGGGTTTTGTGTGGAAAGAAGTTCTGATCAGCAGAATTTGCAAGCTAAAGAGACAACACACTGACTTAAGCAATAGTCAACTCACAGTTTAGAGTAATTATGAGGCATAAGATGAAGACATCCCACAACAATGAAAACCAAGAGTACATAGTTTTCCACTAGAGTTCTTAATTTGTTTACCAAAGAGGATAATGTTGATATCCTTGCCCTTGCAGAAATTGCCTTCCCAAAAAACTAAGGATACCCCTCTAATCAGCAGTTATCATTTCTTGCAGGATTAAGAACATATCCTATCTTAATATGGTCCCTGATTCATGCAGTCAAAAGAAGTTAAGAATAACAAACCAAAGAAACTTTTGCAACACTAATTTTAATTTTTAAAACACAGTGGAGTCTTAGTGCTTTAAGTTTCCATACCTAAAGCACTGAGGTGAGGTCCTCTGGCTACCCCTATTTTAGATAACACTGCTAACTTCTTCAATTGCCAGAACATTACAAAGCTACCTAAATAAGATTCATAATCATTCCAAAGAGTGATGCCTAGCTATTCACACATGAAAAATGGATTTTTTAAAATGTCTTTTTCTAGATTGTGCTATAAAGTTGGATAAAATTGGATCATCGTTCTGGTCTATCAGTAAAGCATCTTGAACAGACACTACAGATTGACAATGAAGTGGTCCCAGAGTTAACTAACAAGAAGATATCAGGCTACAATGTTTTGGGGAAATCATGCAATGTGTTTAATAATCCTAAGTGTCTCCCTTGAATTAAGACTCATCTTTTCAGTAACAGTATTTTTGCAGTATTGTCTTTGACAATACTGGAGGAGTTCCACAGGAATAATGGAATCCTACAGTCTCCAAAGAATTATAATTGTAGGTTATTCAAAGAACAATAAAGAGATGCATCATGGGGGTATACCAGAAGCAGAATACATCAAAGAAATGTATAACCACAAATGGAAGTGTGCTAAGTGTGTAACAAGAGGGATAACAAGGAGAGCCTGTGTGCTGTACCAGTGTCTCAACAGTGTCAAGAGATCTAAAAGGACAACTCAAGAATGTTGGATTAACCCTCCAACCCAGAAGGATTTTCATGAAGATTTACAAAAGGGCATAGGATTAGAAAGCATAGATGAGTGGAGATCATCACTGGAAGAAGTATCAACTTCCATGAGGTCATAAAAGTATGAGTATATGTAATCAAATTAGAGGACATGTAATACTGTTGTTATTAGCAATCATGATAATTTTAATGATACTTTAGGCTTAAAAGTACCCACTAAAGTCCTATTATGAAGCCTCATCATGGTATTATGATCTTGGATTTTCAAAGGCTAAAGAATTTTCAAAGGCGGAGTTTGAACTCTGTTAAATCTCTAAATGAAATAGGCTTCAAATAAAGTCCAAGGGACAGACAGATCAGGTGTCTATTACAGGTGGCTACCAGATAATGAACACTTTGAGCCACAAAGCAGGAGCATGATACAGTGGGATGAGTATTGACTCTGTTATCAGAGGATCTGGATTCAGATCTTTCCCTTTGTGACCTTGGGCAAATCACTTCAACCCTTTGGAATTCATTTTCCTCATCTGACAAATTGTACTAGATAGTTGTACTAGATAGCTTCTGAGGTCTCTCCCATCTCTAAAACTATAATTCTATGTCTAAAGCATGGAAGGTTTGTAATATATGTAGTTAGAAGTATCCATACCGGGGAGAATCACAGGTCTTTCAAGCACTGTAATAAGATTCCACATGACTTTGCATCCCTTCAATCTCATCTTACTGCTACAACAACATTATTAGATGAGTAGCATAAATGCTGTTTTTCATATGTAATGACCAAGGATCAGAGACTTGGAATGGCTTGGCCATGGTCACACAAATATGTGGAGCTAGAACTTGGACCCAGTCTTCTTACTCCAACTCTAAGGCCTTTTCCACTGATTCAATCATGTTTCCTCATCCCTGATGGTTTTGTCTTTGGCATTGTGTTCTATGAATATCTATGTGCTCTACTCAGTAATTATACATACCTTTGATGCTTTGTTAATTAAACTTAATTGGAGAAATTCCTTGAGGCCCAAGGGCTGGTCTCCTATGTAGGATTCCATTCCATTGTAATTTAGTGGACAGGTTTTGAAAGACACTCTACCCTAAAATATCTCCTCTACCCAAGTGCCATAATGCTTGAAACTCCACTACTGGAGCTACTACACTCCTTGGGATTCTTCTCTCCTTAAAATACTCTCAGAAAATTTAATTCATTCAACAAAAATACACCAAGTTACTACTGACTCAACAAATATCTTTCCTCATAACAAGAAGGATGAAGGCTGTAAGCAGTTGTTGGAAGTCGGTGTTAGGGGGAAGTGGACACAGTACTCAAATATCTAAAAGAGCAGAGAAACCCAAGGAGGTCAGAGACAGAAAGAAAAGTCCCATATACATCAAAACATTCATTTTTGTGTTAGCAAAAAACTGGAAACAAAGTAGATGTCCACTGATTGAGAAATGGATGAATAAATGTTGGCACGTGAATGCAATGAAATATTATTCTACTGTAAGAAATGATGACTATGAAGAATTTAGAAAAGCATGGGAAGATTTCTATATACTGATGTAAAGTATTGTAAGCAGAACCAAGAATATAGTATACATAATGACTACAAAAACATAAAAAAAATTAGAACAAAAAAAATGAACCCGAATGCTACGTAATTACAATGAACAAGTTTGCCCCCAAAGATGACTTGGAAAAAAATGCATCTTTCTCCCTTAGTTGCAGAGGTAGAGGACTATGGATGGGAAGTACTGAATATACCACCAGATTCAGATGATATGTCAGCTTTAGTTAACTGCTTTTTTTTCCTTCCTTTTTTGTTACAAAGATCACTAAGTAGGGAAAGAGGGAGGAATATTTTTGAAAAAAGTAGGTAAGGTCAATAAAGATTTAAAAAGAACATAGAAATGGGAGGTAAAAGACAAAGGAGACAAATTTCTACCACATCATAGTTTTGCCTATGCTCAACCTTACAGGGTTCAGTTAATTCCCTCAACACATGATGTCATTTTATGCCTCTCCAACATTCTGCCCGCATATAAATTCCCTAAATTAGAAGGCACAATAGATAAGAATGCTGGGCCTGGAGTCAGGAAGACCTAAGTTCAAATCCAGCTTCAGATACTTCTGAGCTAGGTGACACTGGGAAGTCATTTAATCACTTGTCTGCCTCAGTTTCCTCAATTATAAAAAATGAGGATCATAATAGCACTTAGCTCAGAGTTGTGAGGATCAAATGAGATCATTTTTGTAAAGCACTTGGCACAAAGCCTGGCACATAGTAAGCACTTAATATTTATTCCTTTCTCCTCATTCCCCCAAGTTTCAAGACTGCATGCACTGCTTAGATTACAGCTTGTCTTTGCTTTTCTAATATAGTTATGAGCTGTGCTTAAGATCCTTCTAATACGTAGGAGCTTCCAAGAGATGGATTATAATTCAGCCCATGGAACAACTCCTAAGAAGTTGAGCTGCATAACAATGGCGTGGGCTAACTTGGGAGGTGGTAAGTTCCACATACTCCAACTATTTGAGCAGATGCTGAGCCTAAGTCTATGTATACATCTCTCTCCAAATGAGCACATCACTTCTATGATATTTGAGGTTGTGGGCTTGCAACCGTTCTCATCTAAACAAGGGCATCACCCAAATCTTAGTGCCCACCTACCCATTCCAGGGCTGTAAAGTAGCTTTAGCCATCTTGCACAAATTGCATTATCAATGAATGGCCAGTGCTGACAAGATATTGACAAGAAGGGCAGCTAGGTGGCGCAGGGGATAGAGTACTGGCCCTGGAGTCAGGAGGAGCTGAATTCAAATCCAGCCTCAGACACTTGACACTTACTAGCTGTGTGACCCTGGGCAATCACTTAACCCCATTGCCTAGCCAAAAAAACAAAAAAACCCAAAGATATTGACAAGAAAGACAAAAGACAAATTAGACTTCTGAAAATGATTTTTAAATGCCCTAAAACTACAGTTATTATGGAAGAAACTATAGCATCCAAGTGCCAGAGTGTTATCCCTCTTTTTGGAGTCACCTAAGTCACTTAACCCTGTTTGCCTCAGTTTCCTCACCTGTAAAATGAGCAGAAGAAGGAAATGGCAAACCACACCACCATCCTTGCCAAGAAAACCCCAAATGGGGTCATGAAAAGTCAGACATGACTGAAATGACTCGACAACAAACAACAGCAACCTGTTTATCCAGAATAGATAAGAATTGTGTTGATCTTTATTAAGCATGGAGCTTGACTAGGATGTAATTTACAAAGAAGCAAATTTCAGATCAACGTGAAGAATTTCCAACCACTCAAGCTGTCAAACAGTGCAACAGGATGCCTCCAGAAGTAGTGAGTTCCCTGTTATTGAAAGTCTTCTTCAAGTACAGGCTAGATGACTAGTAGTCAATGATGGGATCCATGCTTCAGATAGGGGGCTGAATCAGTTCACCCATGAGGTCCTGTCCAACTCTCAGAATCTAGTATTCTATGTAATAATATGATTATGCACTCTCCTTTGGTGTTTGCTGATGGCACAATTTATGCAACCAGCAAAGACAAAGTATAAAAAAGAAACCAAGTCTGCTTAAAATAATATTGTGATTTCAGTGTGCTACACTACTTCAGGTTTCCTCATTTCCCTTTCTGTGTCCAACTGGGGTTTGAAGGGTAGAGGAGGGAGACAGTAGTATGCACAGTGGAAAGAGGAGGGCTGTATGGAGGTTGTGTGGACACACATGTGGCATTTGGAATGTGGATGGGTATAAAACCTATGGATGGCTCGACTAGTAGACGGTTGATTATGAGAAGGGAGAACAGAGAGGATGATATTTAGAACATGCCAGTACAATGACAAGTGTGTCCTAGATGAAAAAAAAAAGCTGAGGAAATGTTCTAACCAACTCATGGCTGAGTGACAAGGCAGACCAGGAAATGCCCCCCTCTAAGAAAGGGCCATCAAGATTCCGCTAGTCCTTTTATCTTGGACCACCCCTCTCTGATCTACCCTCATCTCCCTGATCTACCTCCATATCTCCCTCCTGATAAGATTTTTGTTTCACTAGTATCAAAATTGGTCCCCTGCTCCCCACATGCCTGGACCTCCCCCCAAAATAATTCAAACCTGTTTGATCTTCAGTGAGGCTTTCTGCTATCTTCTTCTACCTTCTGCTCTTACCGGACAAAGCCTCAGGCCCCTGAGCCTACGACTCACGTCCCATTAACTTCTCTCAGTCTTGGGCCCCACCTGTGATTATGACACCAACCCCAATGCTTCCAGTGCCCTGGAGAAGATAGGGTTGGCTAAGGGGTGGACAGTTGCCATTATCAAATGCCATGCACAGGTAGGCACTTTGAAAAATATTTATTATAATAATGCTTATTGTAGCACAAAGAAATGAAATGACTTGCCCAAGGTCACATAGGGCAGGGATAACACGGTAGCATCCCAGTCCTGTGTCACGAATCCCACCAAACACAGAGACAGGAATAACCATTGGTCCCATCCCTGAGACCCTAAGTCAGTAGTAGTCTAGCCCTTACCACCATACCCCCACCTTAATTCCAAGCAGACAGAAGTATCGAAAATCAATGGGGGTGACCAGGAAGGGGGGAACCTACTTTTCCCATTGGATTTTTTTTTATGTGAACTCTACCAGAGAACATAGAGAAAAAGACTTCTAAAACTGAAGGCACAAAAAAAACTCATAATATTGTTTTCATTGAGGTGTGATAAGCAGTCCACAGTCACATCACCACATCCAAAAGAGTAAGACTTTTCCCCAGGAAACCCAGGCCCAAACATTTCTCTTAAACCAGCAGTCTGGAGCCGTGTAAGTGTCTGGTCATCGGCCACAGGTTGGTTTCCCCACAGTTGTTCAGACGCCTCTTACACTGGCAACAACGTCGGTACTTCTCACATTGATCCAGGATGAACAATTTGTCAGAAGCCCTAAGAATGTAAAGAATGAGAACCCATCACTTCCATTCAATTTAGCAAACATCCATCATTACATACCAAGAACTGAGAGGCATCACAGTCAGGAAGACTGAGGATTCAAGTCCCATGCCCCTGCATTCCACAGGTGTGTGTGTGTCTGTGTGTGTATGTATGATACACCCACAATGGATATGGGACTCGGGCAATTCTCTAGGATGATAGGTTACAGAGCAGGTGGCAATCTGCATTGGGTAAAGGAAGATTCCCCACCACGAGTTCCCTTTGCCAGTGAAATAATAGGGATGGCATATATAGACATAGACAAAGACATAGGCATTTCATAGTTCTGGAAATGGTGGTGACTAAGAGTGACCATCCAAAAGCCTGGTCAGAGACCTGGTAGATAAGGATTAAAAGTGGAAAGTTGAGACATTTGTTCATTTATTCAGCCATACATTAAGCACTTATTATATGTAGCACAAGACTCAGCATTGGAGGAAGAGGCAAAAAGAACTATCTCTCTCTCTCTCTCTCTCTCTCAATATATATATATATATATATAATGTGTGTGTACATTTGTGTGTATATACACACATACACACATACACACACACACACAGCTCCAAGGCCAACTCTCTCTATCCACCATGAGGTAGATACGTGGTGCAGTGGATACAGCACTGGACCCAGAGTCAAGAAGACAAGTTCAAATGCTCCATCAAACACTTCCTAGCTGTGTGACCCTAGGCAAGTCACTTAGCTTGTGTCTCCTTCAGTTTCTTCATCTACAATCAGGGGAATGTCAATAATAGCACCTACCTCCCAGGATTGGTATTGGGATAAAATGAGTTAATATTTATAAAGTACTTTGCAAGTTTTACCATAACGTATAGCTATTATTATGACACAGCCTGTCTATACTCTATGTCATCAAGTCTGACCATTTCACTGAAGTCATAGAAGGTTATTGCACATATAGTGTGTGTAAAATATATATACTATTGTATATATACATTTCTACATATAAGCTATGTGTTTTTATATGTGTATATACGTACCCAGTGTGTGTGACATATACACAGGATTATGCTTAATACTTACTGTCCTGGAAATATGCATTTATCAATAACCATAAAAAAATACAAGAAAGTGTGAGATATGGGCCAAGGAAAGATCACTTTCAGCTAGGGGAGGCAAGGCAGGATTCATGTTGGAGGTAGCACCTAATTTGGAGCTTGAAGGAAGAGAAAGATTTCAATAATTCCAATAATAAGAGATGAAGAAGAGAGGGCATTCAAGGTATGGCGGATGACCTAACCTGCGTGAATGCACAGAGTAGGAGAGGGCAGGTAAGACTGGGGAACAACATGATACTCCTTCCTTTGGAATATAGACTGCAGAAAGGAAAGCAAGATGAAGTAAGACTAGAAAAATAGGTTAAAACCAGATTGCGGAGGGCACTGAATGCCAAGTCACTTAACCTCTGTCTGCCTCAGTTTCCTTATCTATAAAATTGGAACAACAATATGTCTGCTTCCCAGGGTTGTGAAACTAAGAGGAGATATGTATATATCTACATACATATATGTATTCATTGTTTAGGCAACAAGGATCTATTAGATATATACTGATTTTAATTCTGAGCAGAGGCAGTGACAAGAAGACCAAGGTTATTAACCACAAATATGGCATGGCATATTTGCACATAGCAAACATCACATATGCCCTGTTATAATGTATACTCCAGGAAGAAGAAAATACATCTTATTTACCATTTTTCTCTCCCTTAATGCCTTGCACTATCCTGCTAATAATAATAAGCATAAACACAGGGCTGACTAAATGAATAAATAAATGTCTACACTTTCTATTCCTCATCTTTATGCCACTCTGCCAGTCAACACCATTTTCAGAAATGAAATTTCTTCTTCTCCCTCCCCTACTGTCTGTCAGCATTGAGGGGAACCCTCTGAGGGTATCCCCATTCTTTGTCTGGCCAAGAACACTCCCACACAGAGAGTCAAAGGGGAATAGGGCCCCTCTGAGGAGAAGCAAAGATGGAAAAGTCAGGGAAGTGGGACAAGGAGGAAGCTGGTTGTTTGTTTTCAACAGCTAAAGTTGGGGCCCTCACTGAGCCTGACCGTTTAAAGATTTTCTCCTCCATATCCCGATGCCTCTTCAACTCAGCACTTTTCTCCCAGTTCTCCTGCAGACCTTGGTTCACCTTCATCGTCCTCTCAAGCTCCGCCATTCTTTCTGCCAAGTGCCTAAAAAGAACGAAATATATCAGCTTCGGGCAGAGACACTGCTACAAACACCAGCAAAGACCTGGTCAGGTTCTTAGGCCTTCTCTGTCAGATTGTGTTGCACATGGAATGCTTTGGTTGAGTCCAGTTATCTCTGAGAAACAAATTAAAAGGCTCTGATTCTGGACCTCCTTTTCTTCCTCTATAAAATGAGTGGGAAAGATCACATGATTTCTGTTGTCCCATCCTAATACTATACAACTCACTTCTGCTATGCAACACAACTTCACTGCTGCTTAATGATTGTTCAGCTATTCTTTTATTGACCCTTTATTTCATTCCCCACAGTTACTGCTCAAACCCTCAAACCCTCAACCATAACCCCATTCCCATTCTCACAGGTTAGATTTTCATGCTGGCAAGTCACTTAACCTCTGTCTGCCTCAGTTTCCTTATCTGTAAAATTGGAACAACAATATGTCTACTTCCCAGGGTTGTGAAACTAAGAGGAGA